CTTCGGTAGTGCCACCTTTGACCATGAACATCATACGACCATTGTGGCCACTCGTCACTATCGCCCACCTGAGGTGATCCTTGGTGAGTTTCTGATAGCCCCTGACCTTGTTATACCGGGCAGTGGTTGGGAGGGCGTGAACAGCAGCGGCGTGCCGGTCAGTCTGCCACCCAGGGCAGTCAGAACATCTCAGACGAAGGGGCCAGTGTCATGAGACACTGAGGTTGCTGACTTGGCCTTGTCAGTCAGCCTTACTGAGAGAGGGCCCTGTACTGGGGCAAGAGCCTGCCAGCCAGTGTGGCTGCTGCCCTGTGATCTCCAGGCGAGGAGCACGGAACTGGATCTCACAGCCTTTCCCTGTCTTGGCTTTCAGAGCTGGGCTGGTCACAGCCCTGCGACGTTTGGAGTATTGGCTGCATTCTCTTCGAGTACTACCGGGGCTTCACACTCTTCCAGGTACAGTGCCCCACACTGCTTCCCTGCGTGAGCATTGCCACTCTGGGTTAGGAAGCCCTTTGTGGCCGAAGAGACAGGTGTCTTCCACCTTGTCACTTGTCAGGTTGTAAGATTCAGACTCAAGGGTTGTAGAGGCTCAGGGGAAGAAGGCAGAGGTCCGTATAGCTGCCATCAAGGATGAAGGGCGGGAGGGAGCGTTTCAGGCAGGGGATACAGCATGAGTGAGGGCCTGGGGGCGGCTGGAATGTGTTCTGGGGAGAGTGCAGCTAACCAGAGAGCGGTGTGCAGTCATGGCCAGGTCTGCCTGAAGGGCTGCGGAGCGTGAGCCTGTTCCTCAGAGAACAGGCTGGCGAGCTGCCACCCGGTTGGAGAGGCTGGGACTGCTGTTCCATTGGTAGTTTGCATCTCCTGGGGCAGCAAGGGCATTTGCCCCTCTCTCTCATCCTGTATTCTCCCTGAGCGGGGTGAGGCTGGGACTGTCCTTACTTGCTCTGTCCCTCATCTTCCACAGACCCATGAAAACCGAGAGCACTTGGTGATGATGGAGAAGATCCTAGGGCCCATCCCATCACACATGATCCACCGCACCAGGTAAGGAGCCCGGTAGCTCCTTCCGGGGTCAGGGCTGACATAGGAACCTTTCCCTTCTCGGCTGGGTGTTAACAGGGTACTGGATATAGAATAGAAAGTCTCTGCCAGACATTCATGGCTCCCCCTGGCTCCTGACAGCCTTCCCCTGTACGTCCTGGCTTTGCTGCCATTCCCTAGACTGCCACTGTCTTGAGTCTGGCTGGAGCTGCTCTTCCTCACCTCTCACCAGAGGCTTGTCCCCCTACCACTCCCACAACCTGACCCCTACTCCCCCCACCCCACATTTTCAGGAAGCAGAAATATTTCTACAAAGGGGGCCTGGTTTGGGATGAGAACAGCTCTGACGGCCGGTATGTGAAGGAGAACTGCAAACCTCTGAAGGTCAGTTTCTGGCTTCCCCCAGCTCAACTCATGCCAAGGAGACCCCAGGCTCTGGGCAGACACACAGCAGAGAGACAGGCCAGGCAGCTAAAGGCTGCCTCCTCGTTCCAGCTCTGTGGGAGGCAGCACCCAAGACTGGGTGCTGGCAGTTGGGCTTCTTGCAAACTGCCCCAGAGGGGCCCTTAGCCTTACCCCTTCCCCATGGGGTGGCTATGAATGTAATTGGGGAACACCAGAAGACCCAGATGTCAGAGACCCTGCTGCTTCCTGTCCCACCCTCTTCTCTCAATTTTGGGAAGAACTAGGCAGGACTGAGGTGAGGGGGGAGGGAAGACCTAGCCATGGCCAGGAAGCCTCTGTCAACTGCATTTGGTGCTCAGACAAGTGAATTTCGCAGAGGTGATCTTTACCCACGTGTCAGGACTTTGCATGTGGGGCAGAGGCACCAACCCAGCAAGACACCTAGTAGCCTGGCAAGTTCCGAGCAAAACGTTAAACACAGGCATGAAAGGAAAGGAGCTGCTCGTTGTCTGTCCAGGAGGGCGGAAGTAGAGTCCTCCAAGGAGGCATCACTGCCTCCTCGACCCAGTCCAGCAAGGCGTCCCAGAGGCAAAGGGACCTGCTGTGGCTTCCCCACGACCCTGCCGTCACACTGAGGCACCTTGTGTCCCTGAGCAGAGTTACATGCTCCAGGACACTCTGGAGCACGTGCAGCTGTTTGACCTGATGAGGAGGATGTTAGAATTTGACCCTGCCCAGCGCATCACACTGGCCGAGGCCCTGCTGCACCCCTTCTTTGCTGGCTTGACCCCTGAGGAGCGGTCCTTCCACAGCAGCCGCAACCCAAGCAGATGACAGGTGCAGGCCACCCTGCAAGGAGATGATGGAGAGTGGGACTGGGCTGTCCAGCCCCTTTTCTCCAGCCTCTACCACCGGCCCCAGGGCCAGAGCCACCCAACGAACAGTGCAATGTGAAGGAAGGCAGGAGCCTGCAGGGGAGGAGACTTGGTGCCCAGCTGCCAGAAAGCACAGATTTGACCCAAGCTATTTATATGTTGTAAAGTTATAATAAAGTGTTTCTTACTGTTTGTAACCCCTGGTACCAGTGTGTCCGTCTCCAGGCTCCCTGCCTTCTCCCTTCCCTGACCTCATTAATAAAGTCTTTCTTAGCAGTTCAGCTTGTGGAGAGCTAAGTGTGAACCGGGCCAGGCACAGAAGAGCTAGCCAGTGGAAAGACCAGAAGTGGGGACATCTCTTGGCCTAGGAAAAGAGCAGTCCAGCCCCAAGGTGGGGCTGAGGTGGCAGGCTGTTGAGCAGTCCTAGATGACACCTGGGCCTCATCCTGTGCCCCCACCCTGCTGGCTCCTGTACTTCCCAGCCCCAAGGAACCTAAGGGAAACAGCTCACTGCAGCTAGCCAGGCAGGGTCTGGTTTTCCCTGCCCTGCCAGCCCTGTCACTGGCTGGGACTGTCCATAACCAACAGCTATGGCCAACTGAGGGCATGTGATGATTGGGGCAGGTTCCTACAGCTGGGGGAGGCAGGACCTCATCAGGCAGAACCATTCACCACAGAGCACAGGACCCAGCCATTCAGCTTTATTTCAGTGCTGGTTTTGGTTCCCCAAGAGCTGCATGAGATAGGCTCGCTATCTGATTGGGGCCCCCTGGGGACTGGGCACTCTAGGCAGGATGCCTCTGAAAAGAGCTGCAGCTAGAGGCATCATGATTATTTTTAATACCTCTGGGGAAGGCCCAGGCTGAAGGCAAGGAGGGGCCCCAATGCCACCTGGGGAGAGAAAGGTTGGGGAGAGACTTGGGCACAATGTCCCAGTGGCCCCTCAACAAGGTCATTACCCCCAGAGCCCCAGCAACTCACTGGAACCAGCAGTCTTCTGGGCCAGAGTTCTTCCATCTCATTTCCCATTGTGCCTAATCAGGGGGCCAAACTGCATTCTCAGGCAGCCAGAACCTGTTTAATGGTTGCCTACTAAAATGCCTGTAACCTAGACTGCTCCTCAGGTTGTGGCCCTGTCCCTGAAGAGGGGACCCCAGCTTGGGAGCTGCTTGGCCCTGAGAGTGAGCAGAGACTCAGGGAGGAGACACAGCATGAAGATCACAGTCCCAGCCCCTCCCCACTGCTGGAGACGACTTAACATTGGAGAGGGGATGGGAGGAAGGGAGGGGCCAGCCCTCTCTGCTCTGCCTCATCTGCTCCTGGCTATGCTCCTAGAAGAAAAGTGATAAGCAGCCTGAAACCTGTGGCACCAGGGCCTACCCTGTGTCCACAGTCCTGGTGCACCCCCCACTCCCCACCCCCTCAACCAGTGGGTGGGCACAGCAGAAGGAAGCCTGAAGCCCTGGAAAAGGCTTAAGCACAAATCCTTTGCAAGGGTCCCTGCCAGGGTTCCAGGCAGCCTCTGGGGCCTAGGCCTGGGAAGATCCTGGCCTCGGCGCCTTAGGACGTGAGCAGCAGTATGTTCCTACGGCTGAGCCCCGCCAGCCAGCTCATCCAGAACTAGCCTCATCTGGGCATCTTTGAGACAGGGTGCTGGCCCCAAGCCGACTCATCTAGAGTGGACACCCATAAAGGGTTCAAAGCTCAGCTGTAAGAAAAGGGGTGGAGCCCGGGCAGGGGAGGGGCATGCACCCTGCTGTGGCATCACAGCTGCAGAGGACCATTTCAGGGTAAGGGCAGAGGGAGCAGAAAAGTGGGGTACGTCTGTGCAGGCAGGGAGATGGGGGAGTGGTGGCCTAGGACAGAAGCACCAGGGAGCCTCTTCTGGCTCAGCACCAGGCTCCCCCAGGGGCCTCCCCAATACTGAACATTAAAGCTGCACCCTGAGGGGTCTGGCCCAGACTAGGCAAAGGCTCAACCCCAGCTGGGGGCGTGGGGGGCACTGCTGGCAAGATGGGCACTGTGGTTCTACAGTAACATAACCTTATACTACCTGTGCTAAGGACGACAGAACAATATAAAACCCCAATACAGTAACGCCATCCTGATGCCACCCACTTCCCTACCTCTGAATGATGGAGAGTAAAGAAGGGAGAGACCCTTGGAAAAATCCCAGCAAAACACGGATCAGCTCAGGAGAAAGGGTCAAAAGCCCCCAAATCAACTTGGGCTAGGGTTAGGGGTAGGCCTAGTCTGTCACGGCCCATAAAATGAAAAGAGCACGCAGGTCTGCCCTCTAGTGGACAGTGGCCGTGCAGCCGGGTCTACATGATTGGTGGAAGGGCTGCGCAGCAGCAGGTAAAGCAGGGAGTCACAAGCCACAACCTCTGACGCAGAGCAGGTACAGGCCCCAGGCGGGACCTGGCCCACCCCGTGGCCTGCTCGCCCAGGCCCAGTGGCTGTAAACCTGAAACACCGTCGGAGAGCTGCCTATGTCTGTAAACAAAGGCCCACCTGGCTGCACAGGGGGCTGAGGGTAGAGACGCCTGGAGCCACTGCACACTCGGCTGCCGCCCTGCCTGCACGCCCTGTGGGAAAGCCTTCCCTGGCTAAGGGCAGGTGACAGGTCGGTTTTAGGTAAGTAAGTTCTGTTCTATCACAGAAGAAACAAACTCCAAAGAGAAAAACTTGAACAAGGTCCATGAAACTTCACATCCTTAAGGCGTTCGTCGTCAGGTTCAGTGTCATGAGCAGCAAGGACTGCAGGATCCAGCCTGCCCAGGCCCCCTAGGCAGAGTGCAGGGGGATGACAAACTTGCAGCCAAAGGGTGAGTGGTAGTTGATGCCCACCTCCTGGAAGACCTGCTGGGGAATGCCGATGTCGCACAAATAGATGCGGCCTGCGTGCTCCCCCAGCGGCAGAGGCAGGCCCAGCGCCAGTGACCATTTGGCATCAATGCCCTGTTCAGCTTCACGCACGGGAGGGTCTATGCTGAGTACTGGAGCCCGGTTCTGGTTGGCCCAGGCCACAGCTGCCTTGTACCAGGGCTGATCCCGCAGGAAGGCGTTCTCGGGGCAGTCCAGGCAGTTGATGACCAGGTCCACAGGGCTAGTGGGCAGATCTGCAGGTGGAAAGAGTGCCATCTGAACATCCCTATAAGCACAGAGCAGCCCGGGCTGGGACTAGAGCCCGGGTGGCCCCAAGAATGTTTTGTCTTCTAGACACCACTCCAAAGGCTGGCCTTCTCAAGGCTGGGCCACGACAGAGGCTCTGAGAGTTCCAAGGCCTGGTTGGGCTGGGTGTTAAAGACCAAGGGCATGTCAGCCTGACGAACCACTGCCTTCTGGGAGCTCCCAGGCCGAAGCACTGTCCTGCAGAGTGTGCAGAGCTGCTCTGGGCACAAAGCCCTCACCTCTTCTGCCCTGTCTAGGCAAGTCTTTGTATATCTGACTAATGCCCCCAAACACATTAGGAGCTCTGGAAGACAGAGTCCACTGCCAAGTCAGCCCTCACAGGGAAGTCCTGCTCAGGGCTCAGCGAAAATGGGAGCTGACTGCTATTTGCTGACTGACCCAAGAAGGGTGAGCAAGTGAGAGCAAGCCTGCTTATTCTACTCCAGACTAGCCTACTCATTCTACTCTTGCCAGCCTGCCCTCTGCTCTAGCCTTTCTCATTCTTTCACAGGAATGCGTCCTCCACTCAGCCCAACCTTAAGAATGAGGAGGGAACCTATCACTGTCCTCCCAGGCATTTAAAAAGGCTCCTCTGTCCCAGGCTTCTGGGACAGTGTAAGAACAGGATGCCTCAACCAGTATGTATATCTTGGACTGGCCTAAGAGGTTACACTGACAATAGCAGAAATAAACTCAAGGGTCACCATTCTCAGACCTGTCTCCTGGGGGGATTGGGCTAGGAAGCCTTCTGGGCAGCCAGGGGAAGAATTGCCTGGAATGGGACATCATGCTCAAGATTTCAAGAGGGGGAACCCACACCAGGCCCCCTTCCCAGCTCTAGGCCTAGAGCAATGGCATTTCTCAACTAGAGACCCATGGCTTCCATACCTAGAACATGCCACCATGGGAGTCCCTGTGGGCCATGAGGATGTCAAGAATAAGATTGGTGTCCTATCTTATCTTCTGGGTGCCTACAGGGGCCTGGCCCAAGACTTAAGAAACTGAGGTTCTGATCTAGGCTCTGTCCCTGACTTGCCATCTGACCTCTGGCAAGGCCCTTTCTCTGGGCCATATTTGCTCTCTCCAATTCTTCTCCACACTTTCTCCCTTAAACCCACTGCAGTCAGACTTTGCCCCCACCACTTCACTTGAAACTGCTCTTGTCAAGATCACCAGGGGCCTCCACATGGCTAAATCCAGTGGTCGACTGCCAGTCTTCCTTTGAGCTTAACCTAGAGTGGGGCTTGCTGACGCAGATGATCCCACGCTCTTTTCTTCACTTGGCTTTCAACTACCATACTCTCCTAGTTTTTTCTTCTCCCTCACTGACCATTCCTGCCCTGTGTCTCCCAGGCTGGTTTTTCCCTTCCTTGATTTCTAAACAAAGAGCTCAGTCTTCCAACTTCTTTTTCTTTTGTTAAACAACCAATGTAATAGTTGTGTTTTTTGTTTTTTGTTTTTTTTTTTGAGACAGAGTCTCGCTCTGTTGCCCGGGCTAGAGTGAGTGCCGTGGCGTCAGCCTAGCTCACAGCAACCTCACACTCCTGGGCTCAAGCAATCCTTCTGCCTCGGCCTCCCGAGTAGCTGGGACTACAGGCATGCGCCACCATGCCCGGCTAATTTTTTCTATATAGTTTTAGTTGTCCGATTAATTTCTTTCTATTTTTAGTAGAGACGGGGTCTTGCTCTTGCTCAGGCTGGTCTCGAACTCCAGAGCTCAAACAATCCACCAGCCTCGGCCTCCCAGAGTGCTAGGATTACAGGCGTGAGCCACCGCGCCCGGCCACAGTTGTGTTTTTTTTAAATGGACAGGTTCTTGTCATGTTGCCTAGGCTGGAGTCGAACTCCTATGCTCAAGCAATCTTCCCATCTTAGCCCTCCCTAGTAGCTGGGACTACAGCACCGCACCCAGCTCCCAACTTCTCTCTCTTATCCAGGCTTATCATGGCTTAAATATCATCTACAATTGTAACTCTAGGTTAGAGCCCTTCGCTTAACTCCAGGCGCATGTCACTCCTGCCCAATCACCTTCTCCCCCTGTATATCCAACAGACATCCCAAACTGCGCTTCTGCTCTTCCTCCCGAAACCTTCTCCTCTACTGAGTCTCCCCATCTCCGTGCCTGCACCTCAGTTCCTCAGGCCAAAACCCTTAGAATCATTCTTTTCTTATTTGGGGTTTTTTTTTTTGTGTGAGACTAGGTCTCACTCCGTTGCCCAGGCTGGAACAGTGGTGTGATCACAGCTCACTGTAACCTCAAACTCCTGGGCTCAAGCGATCTGACCACCTCAGCCTCCCAAGTAGCTGCGACTACAGGCATGTGCCACCACCATGCTCGGTTTGTAATGCTTCCTTTATAGCTGTAGCCAGTATACTTATTGTTACACTCAGTCTGTTGTTTTGTATCATTCTCAGTTAATTTATAGAAACCTTGTCACCCTAACTAAATATTAATGGTCTTGGGAATAGGGAAACATGATGACTTCCTTCTTTTATTATGTTCCCCTACTATAAATTCTTAAAATTTTTTTAGCTTTCCATTTTGAAATTATTTTATTTGTTTAGAGACAGGGTCTTGCTCTGTCGCCCAGGCTAGAGTGCAATGGTGTGATAATAGCTCACTGCTACCTCGAACTCCAGGCTCAAGTGATCCTTCTGCCTCAGCCTTCCGAGTAGCTGAGACTGTGGGTGCATGCTATTGCACCCAGCTGATTTTAAAAATATTTTGTAGAGATGGGAGTCTCACTATGTTGCTCAGGCTGGTCTTGAACTCCTGGCCTCAAGTGAGCCTCCTACCCCAGCCTCCCAAAGCATTAGGATTACAGGTGTGAGCCACCGCGCCTGGCCAGCCATTCTTAACTCTTCTCCTTCACCCCCTACATCCGATCTGTGGACTCCATCTTTCAAACTCATTCAGAAACTAACAACTTTTAGCACCTCTGCCACCAGCACTGTCTTAGCTACCATCATCTTTCTCTCCGATGAACAGAACAGCATCTTAACACCTCTTCGTTCTCTTATAGTTCACTCTCAAACAGATCCAGAATGACTGTCTGGAACCTAAGTTGGATTACATCAATCCTCTACTTATTCCTCCAATGACTCCATCTTACCCAGAATGAAAGTCCAAACCCTTTTAGTGATCCACAAGGCCCTTCACGGCCCGACCCTGAGATGTCCAGGTCTCCTCCTTCCTGCCTAACCCCTTCTATCTCCCTTCTCTGCTTTATTTTTCTTCATAACACTTACTACCATCTGATGTAACACGTTACTTATTTGTGTGTTTGTCTCTCCTAACCAGAACATACACTCTATGGAAGAATGGATTAAAAAAAAAAATCCGCTGCCATATCCCAAGCATCAGGAACAGTGCTTGTTCCATAAATGTTTGTGAAATGAATAAACGGGTCTCCAGCTTTTCATCTGAGTATTGGGAGAGGGAGAAGGGGAGGGGAAGGAGATGGGAAGTAGGCACATCAACACCAAATGTATCACAGCTCTAAGACTTCTTCTTCCAGGCAGATCATCGTCCTTAGACACGTGGTGCCTTTCCACATGTCACCACTGGGTGGCACCACCAAACCATCAAACTACCAAGAAGGGAAGAAACCTTTAGCCCCAACCTTTGTTAAATGCTCACCTTTGAGGCTAGACACTTGTTGGCCTTGGGTCTTGCTGAAGAGTGACAGCTCATTGGTGATGGACTCCAGCATCTTGACAAAGTTGGGCAGGAAGAGGATAACCTGGACATCATGGTTGGCTAGGTGCCTTCCACAGCTGATGCCCTGAGCCCCCTTCACGTGGGGCCCACAGAGTAGGGCCACTGTAGGCCTCTGGTGAACATTTTTGGGATTCAACCTAGAGCGGAAGGTAAAGCAGCATTATCAGCTACAGACTTTCCAATCCCTGGCACCCCCTCCCAGACAACTGCCTGTAGGCACCTGCTGCTCTCGGAGCTTTCTTCCCTGCCGCTCACCAAGTCCCAGGCTCCAGAGGAGGCCCAAATGCATTGCAGGCCAGGTCTGCAGAGTGGCATGCCCACTGTCCCACACCCCAGCGTCACTTCATTGCTGGGTCCTCCCACTAGGCAGTTCACCCAGATCTTGTTCCATCCGACACTGTTGCCAGAACAGTTTTCTGACCCATGAACACATAATGGTTCCTCCCTGTGTGACCTATTAAGTCCAAATTCTGCTTGGCAAAGAGGTTTTGCCACCTCTGCAGCCTTCTCTGCTCTTCTTCCCCAACATGTCTGCTCTACCCAGCAAGGCTGGTCTCATGCTCTCCTGTACCTGTAAGGATTTTCCCTGCTTACGCTCAGACTAGGTCCCCTGCCCAGAAGCCCGTCACTTTCCAAACTCTGACTTGCATTTTCTTGGAGGTCCAGCTCCAGACTTCCTTCCCTCTTCTGGGATTACTCTGGCTCCCATTCTTTCCTTTTCTCAACTCCTAATAAACTCACAGCAAGTACCAGTTCAGGCTTGTTCTCAACTGTCCTCAATCGGTTGCCAATCCCAGCTCTCTTCACTGAGCTTATTAGCTTACTGACACTGATAAGCAGTGCTGCAGATAGTAACAGTACCTCTTTCACAGGATGCCGTGAGAATTACTGGAGGCACAGCAGTACCCAACATGTAGGAGTGCTCCATCGATCCTGACCATCCAGGAAGCAGAGGCTAGGGGCTACCCACTCTCCTAGGCTGGCAACTGCCTTAGATGAAGTCACTTCCAGTTTCCTGCTATTCAAAGCTGACACTCCCATGGCCTCAGAGAAGCCACAAAGTACGGTGGTGTGGAGGATTAGCCCTGGAGCTCTGCCCAACTCAGAGGCAGCACAGGTGGCTCACAGGGCAGCAAGACAGAGAAAAGATGGACAGCAAGGCTATAGGTCTCTGCTTAGGGGCAGAGCAATGACAGTCACTGATTTCTCAAAGACAGGAAGAAGACAGATACTGTCAAGCCAAACAGGAGCTTCGCAACTGCCCCCTTCCCAAACAAATTTTGGGGAATTTAGCAATGTACTCTACACATAGACACCAAACCATTCATTTTCCCCACTACTTTTACACCTAGAAGAAAAATGATAAACACTTCTCCCTTCAACAGATGCTGCAGTTCTGGCATCTGACTCACCCTGTTTCCTAAATGGGCTCTCCCTCTCACGGAGGCACAGCCCCTACCCCCACCAAAAGAATCAAAGCAGAGAACAGCATCCACACACCCAGCAGCAGCGGGCAGAGTACAGGCCCTACAGACCTCTGCAGAGCAGAGACCCAGCTCTACCGTGTACCAGCAGTGTCAAATGGACAAGTCCTTCAGCTGTAGCCTGCTCATCTTAAAACATGGGGCTGTTATTTACCTCTGAGGTGAAGTTATGAGGATCACATTAAATTCTGTTGTGAAAGCCCTGTGAAAAATGCATGGCCCTTGACATACATTAAACCTCAAGGTTACTAACTATGGGTTTGATTTCTCAAAGCAAAACCAGCCACTGCTGCAAAGGACAGGAGATCAGATGCTAAGAGAAAAAGTCAGGCACAAGTACCGCCAGCACCAAGGAGTTGGCTAGAAGGCAAAGTGACTTGGTGAGGACATTCAGCTCCTGCCCCAAAATTACTGTTTCGGGAAGCCACTTAATGGCTTCAAATACCCCCAGAGGAGCTTATTCCTGGAGCTGCTCCAGTGGCTGTTCCAGGAGGAGGGCAGCACACGCCATTCCCAAGGGCCTGATGCCCCCTCAGAGGGCACCTCACCCTACTCCCTCCTTTAGGCATCTCCACTGGCTCTTCCCTTGCCCGGGGGAGGCCAGGGATCCCACACGGCTGGGAAGCAGACTTAAATCAAGGGCCGAGGAGGAATGACCACCCCCCCCCCAACTCAAACGGGAAAGGGAAGCAGAGGAGCAGGGAGGGGAGATCTCACTTCAGCTTGGATCAAACCTGCTTTAATCAATATCACTTCAGAATCAGGAGATGCCTCCCGTGCAAACACAGCATCCCTCGGCCCCGAGAATGGAAAGAGGCTGGAGTGAGGAGCTGTGGGGTTTATCCGCAGTATCAGTCTTCTGGCCAGGACCCCAAATACCATGGCTGGAAACACAAGCCAAGGATAGGCCTCCATTTCTCAAACAGGAAAGGGGCTCTGTGGGAAGCAACATCCTGTCGTGTGAGGCTCCAGATCTGTAAGTGCTGCTCAGGGAAACGAAGCCTTCCTTGCTCTGCTAAACCGAGGTCCACCCTGCTCCTTGGAAGCCACCTCCTGCCTCCCTCAAGACACCACTCTCTCCCAGGATTGCCTGTGTCCTCTTCCTTTTTATTCACAAATCCAACAGATACTTGTCAATTCTAATTTTGCTTTACCCCAATCTCTCAGAAGTACCACTGCTAATCATTCCTTTTTTCTGTGAATAGTATTTCCCTGGTTCCTACACACTACTCTCTTGCTTTTTTCACCTCTCTAGCTCTGTTCCTCATCCTCATAACTGTGCCTTAAATGCTGGTGCTCCCCAGAAGCCCACCCAGGCCCTTTCATACCCTTCTCCTTAGAAGATCTCATCTATTCTTACACCGTCTACAGGCAGACAACTCCCAAATCTCTAGCTTCAGCTCAGGCCCTTTTCTGAACTTCAAATCCATATATCTAACATTTGGATATCTCACAGGGATTCCAAACTCAACACATCCAAAACAAAACCCACTATCTCCCCCAAACCTGCTCCTCTTCCCACCTTCCCGATCACAGTGAATGTTATCACCATCCACCCAACCAGGTGTCCAAGCTGGAAAGCCTGAAGGTCAGTGATCACCGACATTCCACTTTCCATCACCTCCAGCACACATTTGATTACCTTGCCCTGCTGAATTTACCTTTAAAAAAAAAAAAAAAAAATCCCTCGTATGTCCACTTTTCCGATCCTACTCAGCTGCGTGGCCTACCATCATCTGGGCCCTGGCTCAATTTTCTAAGGGTTACAGTTCTCTAACTGGTCCCACTGCCTTCAGTCCTGCCTCCATTCAGTCAGCTGTCCACACTGTAGCCAAAGTCATCTTTTTAAATACAGGACCAGTCATGTCACAGCCTGACAGAAATCCCTGCCGCAGCTCCCTGCTGCTCAGCTGTCCCAAGGCCCTACTTTCTAGCCATGAAGAATGACTTACAGATCCCCAACAGTTCCCTGGTCTCTCCATTCTCTCTGCCCTTGGCACCTGCCACTCCCTATACCCAGAATACTCCTCCCCTTTCTTCCTTGCCCCTGTTAATTACCCCGTGTTCTTCAGGACTCTAACTGGATGCCACTGCCACTGCTGCTCTAGGAAGGGTGACTGGGGTAGAAATATGGCTTCCTAGAGAATTTCCTGTTTTCTCTGCAACAGCAGTGTGCTGTTTGGAGACCCCACGAGGCTGCTGGAAGGCAGGAGCAGTATTTTATTATTCTTTGTATCCTCGGTGTCTAGCATAAGGTCTGGTACATGGTATCAGCAAACGTCTACAAATAAAGTGCTACTCCTGATGTATGAGCCCAAGGGGCAGGTGGAGAGGTGCCAAACCCCAGCTCCCCTACCTAGTTATCAGGGTGGTTCTAGAAGTTTTTAGGTGTGAAGCTCAGGATTCATTTGCATCCCAGCCACTTAAAGTAAATGACGAGTACCAAAGGCCAGGTCTCTGAAAGTTTCTAGAAGGAAGGCCTCCGATGGTTAACAGGAGTCTCAAAGCCAGGCAGCTGCTGTCAGGAAAGAAAGGGTCAAAGGGTGGCTTGCTGGGAGAAGAATGAGAACTTCCAGGAGATGAGTAGGAGGAGGGGCAAACAAAGAAACCAGCAGCATCCAGGAAAGTGACTTCAGAGAGACCCTCAAATTAGACGAGCAGCGACTATCTAACGAACTCTCCTGTGTGCACGCAAGGCATGGAGGTGGCGCCTGGGCAGCGCATCCTCACTCTACACTCAGCCCCTGCCAGTTAAAGGCATTTACCTGTTGGGTCCTCCGAGGAGGGTCAGTGCCATCTGACTGGCACACACACCTGTCATCTCCAGTCTCCGCTCCAGGGTCAGTCCGTGCTTTTCAGCCACGGATAGCAGCTTTTTATGCAGCTCATAGGAAACACTTGGGACAACCAGGCCAGAGTCTGTGGTTCAAAAGGTGGAGAGAGAAAGGGAAAGTGATTATGGGAAACAAGGTTCAAAAATGAGTGTACTCGATCCAGGATTGTGTGAATGCCAACATTTTAAGACTGACCCTCCCCTGGCCCAGCCTCTTTGTCTTGTGGGGCTAAAGCATGCTCTGCAGCCCTCCAGAGCTCAAGTAGTAGGTGACAAATTGAGTAACAACTGTTCCAGGTCACCATAGAGCAGGGACGAACTTAAGCTCCCTCAGCAATTTAGCTTTAGACTACAAAGGCCGAATCCACCACGACACACCCACCACGAACTATCACGAAACGGCCGGCACACAGCACGTAGCAGCAACCCATACGCCGCTTCAGAAGAGCACGTGCTTTCCCCACGTGGGGAAGTGGCGATCTGGGCAGTGGGCTTTCCTCCCAAGCAGGCTCCTCATCCTTCCCGAGAAGCGGAACAGACACCAGCTAACCCTTGTGACCCCCTGGCCCCTGCTGTTCTGGTCAAACTCAGGGCAGGATGACTTGCTGGTTGCATCTGCTCCCTACTTCCTCTTCCTTCTCTCTTCTATTTATATCTTCCTCTTTGCTTAAGAAATTCAGCTAGCAACTTGTTTTCTCAAATAATTTGTCGTTTTCTCCTCATTTGAGGTGAGTATAACCCAATACACCACAGGGAAAGAGTATATGGAAAGTAACCTATGGCTTGCTTTAAGCTACTCGGAACCTAGAACATTTTTTATTCACCACAAAAAAGACAACTCTATTAAAGGTTGGAGAGAATTACTGTCATTAAAAGTACATCATGGAAAAAAAATAACAACAAAAAAGACAGACAAACCAACAACAAAAGAAGTACACCGTGGAAAGTACTTGGTTCTTTAAGCTCAAAGCCAAAGTCTGCTGTGGCTGGTATACTAGAAGAAGTCCACAGTATTATTATATGCATCCGTATCAACAAACCAGTGCTGTTTCAGGGCCCAGAAACCCAAGACGAGAAAGAAACAGCAAACTCAAAAAACTGTGACCTGCAACGGACAACTCTTGCCTGACAAGGTCCTCCTCCCTCCAGGATGCCAAGGCCACCTTACAAATGCAAAGGCCACTGGGCTGGCCACAGGGGAGCATACCCTTTGTCAAAGAGCCCCATCTGGCTTCACTGGGTGATGGACCAACAAACACAAAGCCAGTGTGGGATTGCAAGTAACTAGTTCTGTCTGGCTGCATCAGATGCCTTTTTAGATTCTGTGTCCTCAACTATATTGGACTGTAAATTCCTTGAGACAGGGAAATACATCTTGTATTTCTTTCTTTCTTTTTTTTAGCCAATTTTTTTTATTTCAGTATATTATGAGGGTAGAGATGTTTAGGTTACGTATGTTGCCCTTGCCCCCGCCCCCCAAGTCCAAGCTTCAAGCGTGTCCATCCCCCGGATGGTGCGCATTGCACTCTTTGTGTATGCA